GCAGAGAAGACAGCTTTCTGAGCCAACCCCCCTAACTCCACGCAACAGAAGTCCAGGAGACAGCGTGTGCTAAGGCTCCACTCCTGCTCATGAGGGTCAAGGACCAGAACTGTAAAGGGGAACTGATTATCCTGGACTCACCTCAGAGAGTTTGTGCTGGGCATGCATGAAAGTTGCCCAGCACATCCAAACCTCCCATTCAGAAGGCTATCCATGAGAAATACTGGAATGGAAAAAGACTGCAGCTGTGTGTGCTGCAATGAAATCCACAGTGTCACTTTCCTGTGTAACAGCACTGCAGCAACACAGTGTGGTTTTTTTGTGTAAGGAGAAACACCTTCTTTGAAACTGCTAAGGTTTCTTCTGTTTTTTCCCCTATGAATGATGAAGATATTTGATTAATTTTAAAGTTGGCACTGATTAACGTCCCAGTTAACAACACTGCAAATCCCTCAAAATACCGTTCTGTATATGTTTCCTAAATAATACTGGAACATGCTAGGAGGAAGTAAAGTAATACTGATCTCCTCCACAATATGCCAAATAAGCAGATCTGAGTTTGCTTAGAAAGTGCTGATAAGTAAGAACTGCTTAACAGAAAACCTATTTGAGTTCACACTCACCAAATGACAACCTAAAATTATTAAGAAAGAAAAAGGGAAGAATATACTTCTAAATTTTTTAACATGTTAAGAAAAACTTGCCTTTTCTCTATTTCACACAGTAATATAATTCTACAGATACAGACCAAGAGTAGAGACAATACTACGACCACATTCAAACACCTTTATAAAAAGACTTTTTGCATTTTTGGTTCTGCAAACTGTGTTTCAAAATGGGAAATAATTATATTTCTAGCTTAACGATAAATGATTTTTCTCAGCTGAAACCTGGAACCAATCTTCCATGATCAGACTTGCTAAATAAAAGATCATCCAGCTGACTTGTATGTGGTTTCTGTAGGAAAGAGAGTCACTCCCCAAGTCTGATTCATATCCAATATGTATTTGTACATTAGATTTGTGCCTTTCAAACATTCAGACATTTTCAGACAAGAACACAGTAGCGATACCACAAACATCTGAATTCCTCTTAAAATAATTTAGACATGTCAGTGTTGAGCAATAGATGTGCTCTCGTGTGCAAAGAAGTAAAAACGCGTACTTGAACCCAAGATTCTCCACTTCCTGAACTGTTATCTCCAAGAGAGTAAACCTCTAGAGTACATCTCCACATGACACATTTATCTAAAGTGGCTGCACACATATAATCATGGCTTTTGTTTAGTGATCATGGTCATTTTGAGTTTGTTTAAATACTGCAGCCGAATGCTTATAAACTAATCCCAGAACATTTTGAAATGCTTCAAAGCTTTTAGCGGGGGAACCTCTTGCATAGGCTTTGTAGATGAAGCTGACCACAGTTCACTGGAACCAGCCAGCTCAGGTAAGTAAGATGAAAGCAGACATTTCCTGAAAATATGTTGAAAGCTTTCCATTAGACTGTACCAGGGGTATACACTAAAACCAGCAAGTGCCCTGCTGGTATAGCAACCAATCTTCCCACTGCTTTCTCCATTTTTTCTTGCACTACAGTATTTGTATCTATTTATCTGCTTCATTTGGTATCTTGCAAAGTTCTTTGGGGAAAAAAGATGCAACTTCTGTATTCTAGTTTACAGCACATTATAAAGCAGCTATTACTATAACAAAAAGTTCTGCTTAACATACTAAACATTGCAACAGGAAGACACAGAAATCTACCACTGCCAAAATTATTACAAATGACAAATAAAAAATTTGATCTAGAGATCATTTTAAAGAGTCACCCACTCCATGATAGGCATGAATGCAATTATTTGAACATAATTCTCTAGCTGTCAAAGTGTACTCTAAGAAGGTCAATACAGCATTGCTGAATGTGCTGGTCATAAAGATAGAATGCCTCAGGCTAGATTTTCAATAAAGGCTGAGACTGGCTGTTCATATTTTATATGATAATTTGATTGATTAAATCCAGCTGTTCACTAGGAACAAGAAACTGTTGAGATCTCCAACATTTTATACTTCAAGAAAGACAGTCACACTGTCTAGTTTTAGGCACTTTATTTCAGAGCAATGAATTAGAAGTCCAGGTTTATTTAATAGTCAGTAGACTCAAGGGCACATAAGTCCTTTTAATAGCTTGTCGAGGACCAGCACACTATAAAGAGAGCCCAGGTCTCATTTAAGCACCAAAATTAGATGTTATGACTATCCAACATGCTGTATCCTACAAAGAGTTAATATGCACACTCCAATGAAGACAGGATAGCATTATCATAACATAATACAAAGTACTAAGCAGTGATTACACTTAAATTCAATAGAGCAGTAATGATAATAGTTATTCTGCCCAGTAGCGTATCACAAAAAGGGTCGGGGCACTCAGAGTGCAATGTGAAGTTAAGCACACTTCGAGTCCTCAGCACATGCTAGCCATATATGAGAAGGAAGTGGTGAGCCACAATATCAATGCACAAAATGGGGTGCAAGCAAAGTCCAACAGTTGCTACTTTAAACAAAACAACCCTGCCCCCTTCCAAACAAAACAAAAAATACTTGAGGTCTTAGTACTTTCTTTTGAGGTATACCCTGAAATCCCATGCTCAGTCTGCCTTCTGTAGTGCCTGTTCTTATACCTCCTGTACCCCAGGGTATCTATAATATGGTCTTTCATCTTCCTGGAAAAAGGAAGTATTATTCTTTTCCACGGTGCTGCTTATGTTACTTTTGCTGTTCAGTGTTAGGAGTAAAATGGCCATCCTGTGTCTGGGATCAGGTCAAGACCTATGAATAGATACTCTGAAAACGTACTCTTCTCTCAGTGACAGAAGCTAGTAACGTGCCACTCTGACTCAGGCCCCATACAACTCTGCAATCTAAATGACATTACATGTGCTGCAACATGCATTATCTCTCAGTATAGCCAAGGGGAAGCCAGAGAAGACTTAATAGAGTGTAATTCTTTTTATGAGCAATATTAGTAAGATATGACAGATTCCTTGGCAGACTGCCAGAGGTGAGAAAGGGCCACAATCTGAGGACCTGTCTGCGAGGAGTTGCCCAGGTCCTTAGTAGCCTTTCCTTGCACATTCTGGCTTCCACTAAATATTCAAGTTTGATTAGAATTCCCAAATAATTAAATGTTCTGGTTTAATCTTTCCAGAAATGATGCAACACTCGTCATCATCTTAGAGCAATCTTAACACTCATTCTACCCCATCTACATTCTCCCACATCCTCTCCTAAGAGGGGGCTGAGAGAAGTTGTTCAAAATCTGAAGATCATGAGCTTGCAAGAACCTTACAATAAGCTGAAGTCAACAGGAGTTTTATTCATTATTTCATTAGGAAGTAAAAGTAAAAAGAGACTTGGTTCTCTGCTTCTACTGATTGCTACCAAGACTGCTTGCTATCTGTATAACATTTTAAAGCAATTGTAAAACAATCATTAGGTATATAAACATGTAGAGCTTCATATGCAGAGAGACCAGCAACATGTTTTAACTTCTGACCAAAAGAGTCACCATTTCCTTAAATGTACAGAAACTACTTGAAAAATTCATAAGATCTGTTTCACAAATTACCAATTGAACCATAAGAATATATAGTAAAAATGACAAAAGATTTGTTCTTATAGCTGATAAAAAATTTATGCCAAGGCATTCAAGTAAAGTTACTTTCTGTGTTCTGATTTAATGAATCATTTGAGCGGTATCTGGCTGGGTGACATAGATGTAAGGCTCGCTGAAGCCTACTCTAATGCCTGCTGGTATAGTCTTCCTTGGGACAGTAAAGCCAGAACAATGTGTCAGACTGAAGTAATATCAAGGAAAGTAAGTGCAGTACTGGGGATGCTATGAGGTTGGCCCACAACACTTCTTGACCTGAGAATGTCTGTAAGTACTTCTCTGTCCTACAGGCTCCAGTGACCCAGGAAGCCCAAAAGAAGCAGCAGCAGTGCGGTAATAAAGAGTCTCTGGAACAAGATTTTTGCAATCTTGTAATTCAAGCTGAAAGACATAAAGATTGCTTGATGGTTTAACCCTACTGAAAGGCAGGGCCTGACACTGTGTGAAACCACCAGTGATTTCTTAAAAGGTGAACTGATGTTAAATGTTTAATATGAATTTGTGAGAGAACTGTCTGTTTTACACACTGCAAAGTTTATATCTTTAACTTCTTAAGGAAGTTACTTCATGCATATGACTACAGCTTTTACAGATCATGCCTCTGTGTAGTTTACTGAAAGACACTATAATAAAATCAGGCCTCCCATTAGCAAAACCCTTGGAAAGAGTTTAATTCTACAGTAAATAGAACAAAGCTAAGGAGGACTGTAGGCACTGTAGCATCATGATCTTAAGCAGTAAAGCTAATCCTCATAAAAATAAAATACTGCGTCCCAGTATTACTTTCAGGAATTCGCGAGTTGCTAAAAAAGCTCTCCCCTCTCAAATAAGTTTGCTAGAATATTCAAACAAACATATTTAGAAGCACACCATATCTTTATGGAAATAATTTGACTTTAATTGGGAAAGTGAAATCTTTTAAGAAATCAGAAGTAAAATGAGAAATGAAAAGTGTAACAGTTATGCCAAATCCAAGTAATACAATACACGTCATTTTGTCCTGCTGTCAGAGAGGGGAAGAATGTCTGTCAGCAGCAAATGGAAGAGAGTGAAATATACTCCTTCTTCACCCCACTAGCCCTCTTTAAAAATCCCTAAAGCTTAACTTTTCTTTTTTTAACATATCATTAAGTTTTTCCATTGTTAACATGTTGTTGCAAGTGGGACAATCCTGTCGTGTCTAGAGAATTTAGTTCATTTGCATGAAAAAATAATTCTGTTGATTCCTCAGTTAATTTAAAGAAACCTTTCCCTCCTTTTATCTGAAAATTAAATCTTGTCTCGAGAGGCTAGTTAAGACAGTTGTGTATGTGAATATTTGACATTAAAGGGTACTTACACGGATAACAAAACAATAGCAATTAGAGTCCATTCAGCCATTTTGTGAATAATATTTCTGTTTGTTAACCTGAAAAATAATTAAAAAAAAAATCAGAACATTCCAGAGTGAAAGTAAACAGATATTAACTGCTGAATTTTGATTTAAGTCTACCATTAAAAGACTTAACACACTGAGTTACAATGTGGCAATTACAGCTGTATCTGAGCAATTCACCAACTTTCAGGCTTCTCTCTTATCTTATCCTGTAATGGGGGAATTGCAGAATTCCCAATATGTCTCTTTTTTCCTATATGAAAGTGGGATGGGGAAGACTGAACAGAAGCTAATTCTTTGAATTAGCTCGCAAATAGACCTGGCTGCTATGAGGGCTCAGCTCTCACTCATACCCACTGGGAAATTCTCAGAAACCGCACATGTGTTTCTGAAAAGATGGGCCTTCCTACACTTGGTTTCCCCCCTGTTGGCTTCAGATCCAGATTTGCTGTAAAAGCTAATGTTGCGGAAACAGACTGGATTTTATAAGACACTGGAGATAATCCTCTGATGATTCTTGTTTTTAAAATGGAAACCCAGAATTCTAACTGGCAATGGGAGCCAGTACACATAGAAGAGCAAGAAAATGAGGTGTGAATCAAGAACCACATGGGTGCTCAACCGAAGTGCTGCTGCATTTTATACCTGCTGACCCATCTGGCTGAACTTTGTAATAAGACAGATCTGCTTTAAGTCAAATGTTAATCTGACTTAAAACAATTCACATGTGAATTGCTATGGCTGAATTTAGGCCTGACCCATGGTGTTCAAGACAAGCAATTTCATGGAAAAGTCACAGCCAAAAACAAAGCTGTGGCTATGCGGGCACCCAAAAAGGCTAGCAGAATTGATTTTATTCAGGCAGATGGCGCCAAGAGAAATACTGAGGGGCGAGTGCCTCCCTATGTTTGCTTCCTTCTTGCTCTCAGCTTCCCTTCTATGCAGCCTTGTATAAATTCAAATCCAGAATGAAGCTACCCTGTCACTCATACCCACTTCTACAGGCACTGGTGAACATGGGAGATTGCTTAAAATGAAATACCTGACAACAAATTCAAATCCAGGTTTTCTTCCCCAGTAAGATTATTTTTTTTTTTTAAATTTCTTTGGGCAAGTATACAGTTACCCAAAAAAAGTGTTAAAAAGTGGAAAAGCATTTGTACTTGCCATTGTTAAAATTCAAATTCTGTTAACTAATTCCCCAAAATTATATTCAAAGTGGTCATTAAAAATGCAGTTATGAATGAGAAGTTTTATAGGATCATTTTGCATTTCCTTATTTCAGAAAGATATTAAAAATTCATAAAATTAATTTTTATTTAAGGATAATAATGATTAAAGCAGTATTATCCTATTTTTATCCTCAAATCTCCAAGTCTTCCAACCAAAGTAAGATTTTGAAGCAATGATTACTCAAATAGTGTCTCAACAGCCTGAGTTTTGTTAAATGATTCTACGAAAAGCAATATTTTGTACTACATGTACAGGAATTGTCATATCAAACTAGAACCAATAGTTCCAGCAAATACAGATTTTCTTATTAAAAGATTCGTGTTTCCCAATTACTATTTGAAATAGCTAATGGCGTTAGCTGGCAACAAAGCTTGTACCTAGTAAAATGCTACATTTTTCTGGCTATAGAACAAGAGACAAAACAAAGGCTGAATGTCTTGGCTCAATACTGATGACAGTGATAAACACTACCAAGAAATGCCTGATGGAATCATCTTGACAAGCAATTCATATGTAACATTCCAGTTAATCTGCTATGATGAGACACAATGGAAGAGACAGCTCCAAGCCACCTGGGAAAACTCTGTCAAATAGAGAAAGCAGCTTTATTTCAATGCTCTACAAGGAGTTATTATTGATTAGAGCACAGGAAGGTGTCATTCCTGTACACAAACTGAGAGATGCAGTTATTTGTATCAATTAACTCTTATTCAATGTTAGTATTGATTGGCAAGGTTTGAACACTAGTTATTGCCATCAATATGCTATTTATGAAGGAGGTAGTCAAAAAACACAGATAACCAGCAGGATACGACAATATGGATCTGCTGATGTACTACTGTCACTGGACTGGATGAACAGTCAAGTCAGGCTTCCACAATGCGTAACCGTTCAGTACAACACCTGTCCTAAAGCACTTATGCAGCTGAAAAAAAAACCATTTCAGGCAGATCAGACTAAAGCTAGCAACCTACAGGTGTGAAGCCTTAAATAATAAAGATCAGTGAAAGGGCAGTCGCTTTCAAAAACTGTGTGTCAACACCAAGGCCTCTGAAGAGCAAGCTTTCAGAAAACAGAGAAGTGCAAGTCCTCTGTAAAAATGGTTCATTAATTCTTTGTCTTGCCTCTAGCCAAAACTGTTACTTCAGAACAATCCATGCAAGAGAGGTCACTAGATTTCTGTCATAAACACATAATGCAGAAATGTTAAAACTCTACAAAACTTTGTGTTCAGGATTTGAGTTTTGCAGTGAAATATTTTCTGTTGAAGAATTTGGCTAAATTCTCCCTCACCTACCCCAAAAAAGAAAAGAATATGCAACTTTTCAAAACAGAATGTCTCTATTTTCCTGGCCTCTGTAGGGCAGAATAGGTAAGCCAAGAAGATCGGATGATCCCAAATAGCCGTATGGGTCGCTTAGTTGCTAGTTTGTGGGTGTTGTGGTTCACCCCAGAAAGATGCACTGCAGCTGGACTTGACTGCTTCCACCATCCAGTGGGTAGCAGGACCCATGCAGCAGTTTTAATACTCTATGAAGGAGCTCAGACTGAGCAAATGGATCCAAGTGGTAGAAGCTGAAAGGATAAAGGACTAAAGAGTAAGATGCAAAAAAATTCCATCCCAAATGACCTCCCAATAACAGACTCGTGCCCAGCCTGCAAAGAAAGTGAACTCCAATACGGAAGTTGGAGGAATACAGGAGAGTCCAAGATTAAGGTAACCAGTAAATAAAAAAAGTAAACGCAAAAATGACAGAAAAAGAGCATACACAGTTGGTTCTACTTCTTTTCCTTTAGTTGTCTTCCCATTTAATTACCATCACTGCAAACTTGGCTAGCAGAACCCATTAGCAAATGATGGCCTGATTTGTAAACAGTGCCTGCTGTGGCGGCAGATTTAAGCACATCCTTAAGTGCCTTGTGCAAGAACTTGAACAGGGACCACAACAAACTTGAAGTTATAGGAAACAAACTCAGCAATACAGGAGGTCAACACGCTTTTCTCAGCAGGGTTGCATTTCCTGGGATTTCTAGAAAACAATTTGATAACAGGAACACTGTCCAATGGGGAATGGCAGAAGGACACCAGGATTATCATGCTAAATAGTTATCCACTAACAGGCCCCTAGCATCAGGTATTACAAACGTGATTAAGATGCAAGAAAATGTAACTGGTTAATTAAAAAAAAAAAAATCTTTTTAAAGTAGATTTTTCTTTATACCTATTTATAAATTATAGTCTCGAGTGTTATTTCCTCTTCTAGAAGTTTGTTCATCCTTACAATGAGAATATACTTGTCATGTATGAATCTACGAGCTCAATTTTTAACACGTTACTATGAATTTGACTAATAGCTAGTAGCAATGAGTTATTAGTACTAAATGTAAGTTTGGTGAAAAAACATTCCTTTGAACAGGTCCATGTTTGCTGTCTTTCAGTTTTACAGTATGTCCGGGTCCATGTTTGCTGTCTTTCAGTTTTACAGTATGTCCGTGTTCTTACACTGGGAGAAAAAGAAAAAAATGTGCCCCAAATGGAGATTTTCTTTCTTTCTTTTGTTTTACAATTTACCTTTCTTGCAAAGCGAAGTCATCAGCATCTTTGCAAATGAAGCAGCTTTTTTGTTCACACATCCAGGTTCCCAGGTGTAGGCACATGTAACTTCAGTTCAAGAATCTGACCTGTTAGTTTAGCCGTTTGCCTATTCTGTAAGGCAGCAAGCTGACTTCATGGGATTAGGACATAAAATTGTGACTTTAGGGGACCTCAGCTATCTGTAATTGTTCCAAAACTTGCACTAAGATGAGCGAAGTTTAACTAACCCATGTCAGCATAAGCAAATACTAAAGCATAGACTGTTTTTCTTTGGGCTTCAACTAGACCAATTAAACCATAGAAGACAGTTCCTCTACCCCCTGAAAAAGAGCAACATATTTATGTACTGTAGTATAATTTAGTTTTATGACAATGAGCAAAAATGAGCTACTATTATAACTTCAGGCTCTCTTCAAGAGAAGCCCATTCACTTGAGAAGAGGTCATTAATGTTCTGGTACTTTCACATTTCCATACAGAACCTTGTCTACGACAAAGTATTGCTGATTGACTTGAAACCCAGAACCTAAAATTCCACTTAACAAGGGTAATAGGTAAAAGCCTATCAGTGAGTGTATACAATAGATAACATACACTCACGATATATATTTCAAAGCTAAAATATTGTCTTGGAAACAAGGAAAGACAAAGCTGTAATGAAAACTCTTGAACACATTTTTAGCAAACAACTGTATCATATTCATTGACAGAGTTCAATGTCAATGATAAGCTCCATAAAAGGAGTTAAAATACTTGCAACTGTAAGATACAGATGAAATTCTATTTCCAATATGGAATTTTATGCTTAAAAAAAACCAACCACACATTCACAAACATAATCATTTAGCCTCGATTTATATATAAATAGCTAATTTTCTCTTGATCTTTTAACAAAGTGCTCTTACACACTCTGGAGAATTATTTGACATCTCAGTTTTCATAACAAAAGCTTACAGGCACTGAGGGACTTTGTTTGGGAAGAGCTCTAACCATTCTAAAATGTCTCTTGAGATGCCTCTAGTGTGTTTCCCAGCAGTGGTGATTGAATAAAATGCTGCCCAAAGGAGGTTGAACTGCAAGTGTTCCTTTAAAAACCAATGGAGCTGAAAATCGTTGTTGCTTAGTTCACCATGTGCTCTTTTACCCTTCTTCAGCTAAGCTCTACTACAGCCATGTGTTTTATCTCCTACCCTCTTTGGCAAGTTCTTCAGCCTCAAATATTTCCAGTACAAAAAGCAGGAAAGAGCACTAGCATTTGTCAGTGCTCCCTCCATAGTCATTAAGCATTTTAATCACATTAACAAAGAAAGTAACGTGTAAGTTTCTAGACCCTGCAAACATAAATACTGTTTAAAATTTATCCCAGGTCCCCCTGCCAAAGCATTCAACCTAAAATCAGAGAGACCACTCATATTAAGTAAATTTAAACCTACGTACAGAACTGGAGAGTCAAACCTATGCCTTCATCTTAATATCCATGAGCTAGCTTTTGTGTATCAACAGATACACAAAATGTATCACAAGTGCAAGAAAGAGAAAGGGCCCAAAGGTTTTTATTGCTTCCCTATTTCCTGTATTTTTGTATTATTTTACTATCAATGACAATAAAACTCCATTTATTTTGAGATATATATATAAAGGCACTTACAAATTCTTGTGTAATGCCCACAATTGTCTTCAACAATCCCCTGCCTAAAATGCTGAATTTCTAAGCAATTTATCTGGAATCTTCACAGCAAGAGAGCCCCAAGAACTTGCTACCATTACCTTCAACTTACTTCCTAACAAAAAAGACTTAAAAATAAACTCACAAAGTGTTATCTGAGGGATCAGAAATAGGTCAGGGGAGACTTTTAAAATATAATAAATTATTGCTACATGAGCCAGGTATTGGGATCAAAGTCCAAATTAACTAGATTTGGTTCCATTCTGTAAATCCACAGTTGTGTATATATGTAAGTTTTTAGAAGTCCATTTTGGCTTTAAGGCTCCTTTGCTATAAACCTTTTTTAAAACTTCATATTCAGGCCACTTTGTCTTTGAATAGCAAAAACAATTTGAAATAGAAGTTCTGCTTTTGAGAACCTCCATAATCAATCATACAAAACTGGATTGAAAGAGACCAAATGTAGTTTTTCCAGTTCTATCAATCCACAAGCTAAAGTGACTATTAAGCATTTAGACTGCAGAGCAACAAAACTGTTTTAAGACACAAAGATCTTATTCGAATAGTAGGTATACATATATAGTATATACATGCTGCTCCAATATAACAAAAAATATCTTCCCTGGTTTCAGTGTTGTTGTTAAAATAAAAGGTTAATCACAACTTAAAAGACTGCAATTACAGAATCAAGTTCAAACACTAACAATTCTTTTAAATAAAAGAGATCATGCACAAAGTCACCAGAAAGGAAAAGAGTAAGAAATAGTAAGAAATATTTCCATAGTAAGAAATCCTGCGTATAGAGATCTGTGTTTTAGTGGCATCTTTTCAGAGGTCCGATAAATCATAAGGAATCAGGTAGAGCTGGGTTTCTATTCACCAAGGCCTAAATTCCTTGTGGCAAACACCACATGAATGAGTTTTGGAAAATTTACGTGTAAACCTCATGCAGGTTGGCGATGTGGGGGGGAAGTTTCAAGAGTGACAACGTACACAGAGTTAGCAACTGTTGTTGCTCCTTTTCCTGACAATACTTCAAGATGCAGGACATGATCTAGGTCCAAGTTATGAGAGTTGTGTCCCAAAGAAAACCTAAAAATGTTCAGAGATGTTATCACCATACTGTTTTCCCTCCTTCTTTATCCTAGTGTTTCCAAATACTGTCGTTAGTGCTTCTGACTGAAGCAGAAGCTTCATCTGTTGTGGTTAAGTGTCCACTAGATCTACTTCCCCTTGAAATCAGGAACAAGAAAGGTCAAACTGGACCTTCTTCCTGGCTCTAGAAGTTAGTGGTAACTATTATTAATCACAAGAAAACCATTTAGCCCGGCTGTAGGGAGCCAGAGCAAAAGAAAGCGACAGATCTCAGAAACTCATGGTTAATAGGAGGTGACGAAGTAGCAGAACCTTTAAAAGACTCACCATCATCCTCCAGAGACCACTGGCCTAGTTTTTAAAAATCTACAAATACTCCTGGTGACCTTAGGGAAAGGGTTGACTTGTTAGCCCACAGGGAATGTGACATTACCTACATGAACACACAGCTGGAAGAGGGCAAATCTGCAATGGGGCCCTCGCTGTGCCCAAATTGCAAATCATTCAACAGCATGTTTAATTAATCAATCAAGAAGAATCTCTAAATAAAGATCAATACTCACCGGAAAGTTTTGACAAGATTTTTTAGCTCTGTGTAAACATCACCTGGAGTAATCTGAAGAGGGCCCAAAACTGCAGGTAATCTAGAAGGCAAAAGACCCTAGTCAATATACATTTTCCTCTTTTTCTCATTTCTTCTCAAGTAGGACTTCCGCCAAAGCTCGTGAAAGTTAATAAAAAGAAAGAGAGATTGACTTTTGTGCAGCAGATCAGGCCTGTAGTTTACATTTCAGATTCCTCTGGAGTGGTGTTTGGGCAACACCTTCACTTTACAACAGCTTGTTTTTAAAAATAAGAAGCTCTAGTTCAGTGTGAATGTGAAGAAGAAATTAAATATAGTTTTACATGCATACTCTATTAACACCACATTTCAGTTCTGACAAGACATTCTTACCAAAAAATCAGAGTGTTTACATTATGAGGATTAGAATTCCAGGCCTCATAAATGTTTCAAATATTTGTATTTGCTTGGTTCAAAAACAGCAATACAAAAGGAAACTACATGTCTAAATGAGGTTTGCATAGAGAATATATCTGCTAAGCTCAGAGTCACATAGATGCAACAGAAATAACATTCCAACTGTAAGCCTGATAGTTGGAATCAAGATGATAGTAGGGTAATCAGAAAATTTCAAAAGAAAGAAAAAGACAGATTGCCTCCCTACTTGACTGTACAGCACACAACAAACTGCATATACTGTTTAACTAGTTGTCAGTATCCCCAAACGCTGGAAATAAGACGCATTTTCACATTTAGGATGAAACTTTTGCCTCTGTTTCCTTGTTTAATAGTTAATACCCTCTTGCATTTGAATATCCAGTTATTTACATTTATATGCATATATGTGCATGGTGCATCAATATTGCTGGAAGAATCAAGATTTCTATTCTCCTTCACATCACTGCATGTTTTACAAAAACTGAGCACAGGATTCTTATGATGCTGGCCATATTCATGTTCCTACTGACTTCATCTGAACACACCAAGAAATCATTGCTTTATCACAATGAAAATTGTCTCTCTTACTTGAGTGTGACAGGACTACTGTATCACCTCATAAAATTTAAAAAGACCCAACTAAAGAAGGGGATAGTCAAGAATAAAACCTCTGAAGAAACTAAGAAAACAACATTCTGTCTTTCTTATCCTCTATTCATGGAGTACCAGACTTCGAAGTTCAACAGAAATTTTGCTAGAAGCTGAAAATGACTGACAAACTTGTGGAAAAATTTGAAGGGGCAGAGAAACTGCTTTACCATACCGCAGTAGACCTTGGAATCTATGTGACATTGACACTTACAGAAAGGTCACAGATAGCCACCTTTTTTGCAGCAAGGTTTGATTCCATGTTTGTAGCCTGTCCACACTTGTTGAAGGTAGAGAGAAACAGAATGGAGGGTTTTTTTTTTGTTTTTGGGGGGAGTTTTGGTTGAGGGTTTTTTTTTTAGTGAAAAAAAAAAAAAGCTTCCGCAAAATCTAGTTTGGCTAGCTAACACAAACTACAACCACAGAAAAGCAAAATACCCCTAACAAAAACACCACAATCGTGGCCTTCAAACACTCATTTATCTGCATTGCATTGACAACAGGAGTATTTTCAAAGTCCTCTCAACTTTGACAATTTAATAATTTTAACAGCTACAGCAGAGATGCCTTAATCTCTCTTCTGGGACTCCAAAGCCTTTTTATGTATGTGAAAAAGGTCTGGTCTTTGCTTAAACGAGGTTTGAAAACACCACTTCCTTCTGTGTAGATTTGTTTACCAGTAACTGTATGTTTAATGTACAGGAGAAATATTTGCACTCCTCCCAATCAACTTCAAGTTTTTCAGTTTAGACTTGAGCAGTTGGTACATACAGCTATTTAAATATTTAATATTTTACGTCCATCAGAATCTGCTTTTAAACAACTTACAAGAATCAAGATTAGATTATTTCCAGACAACTGAGGGAAAAGAGGATGATAAATAAAGGGCTTGCTATGGAATTTTTTTTTTTGAAGCACATATTCTCATTTTAAGCTCCATGTGTTATACCAACATTTAGATCCAAAACCCACAGAAATTTTCAGTGTAATGGCACAATTGCCTTGACTTCTGCCAACTACTGAAGAGCAGGAACATGCTGTCATGCCAGTCTGCAATATTGTCAACTACAAGCTCCAACACTTGTAGGAAGGGACAGGTTTCTTCTAGACAATACCTTAGTAGTGAGATTCTGCCATCTACCTCAGCAGGCTGTGCAAACTGACATCTGCAACTGTACCGCAGATGACTGTCTCAGAAATAAGTAAGTTCTTTACGGCAATAACGGGTTTAAGTTATGACTAAGGCCACCTAGAAAAAGCCAGAACGTCCTTGCACAGAGTGTTTGTTTCTCAAAATGATGATCCATGAGCACCAACTTCTGCATGATACTTAACCGAAATAAAGGATACTTACGCTTTTCTCAGTTTTTCAAGGACAATTCGCTTTCTAATCTGCATTTGTGCATTTGAATCAACAAGTGGGAAGGTGAGATCTTCCTGTTGATCATCCTGTATTAAACAAAAAATAACAGCTATAACCTAGCATTTAATTAAAGTCAATGCATCAAAATAGTCACAGCTTACGAATAAATGTTTAAACATAAGAAAACTCTTACCTCTGAACATAAAAAAAAAAAACCAACCAGTAATTTCTTCATGGGCAGAGGTTTGCTTAATCTGACCCAACATACAGTGTGCAGCTAACCTATTTTTCCCCCTCCCTGTGCTAGATACTTTAATTCAACTAATGATAAATTCCTTCGAAACTTAAGTCAGAGTAAACTTTTTCCAAGAAGCAATCTAATAGCTTTGTTTTACAAGAAGCAGCATTATGAAAATTATACCCTCTGATGCTAATGTCACACTTGAACTTTAAAAGCAAAAGCAATTTCACGTGCCAGTACAAACTGTACAACCTATCTAGCCTAGTCAGCATACTGTTTTTACAGTAGTGACAAGAAGACCTGGCTGCTGTCACTTGATTTGTCTGACCTGGAAGAGGTAAAACCTCAGACCACTCTATTTCCTGCAGTCTGCAAATCCTCCAGAGGTCTTTTTCCATATTGTCTATATTGCACCAGCATATCCAAACAAATCAGCAGGTTCCAACTCAGAGAATTTTAACAATAAGTAATGCCAGAGATCTAGTCTTACTCAAGTATACGCTGTCATGAAAAAAGGCAAAAAATCATTAAATAAAAAATTCTATTTAATGAATGAATCAAAGGGGGAGGAAAAAAAAACCCCAAACGTGTTCCCTCCTCACCCAAAGCCTACTCTCTTACAACAGATTGTTTCATCTACGTAAACCTTTTTTACCTTCATGCTTCACAAACTGAAAGACAGCTATCAGAATTCAATGTGTCCCAAACAGTCATACAAACTCATTCTTACCAACCTAAAATATGATTCCTCAACCTTATGGGATTGTTGTGAATCTATCCAACCTTCCTTTTAGTATTTTACATTAATAGCTTGATGTTACCTTGGCCATATACACTTAGGATGACAGAAACAAAGAGCTTGTAATAATTCTTTGAAGGCAGGCTTTATACAGCCTCGATACTATTCCACTGGACACTTACTTTGTCTTTGCTTTGATGTTCCTCTGCTTCTGCATGTGCCACCGCCTCTTCAGCCAAGATGCACTTTCCTTTATAGAACTCTTTTACTCGGAGTTCTAGGAACTCTGTTTCTTCTTTTAACTTTTCGTAACTAGGCACAGGCTTAACTATTCCACCTGGGCTTGTGAAAGGCAAAGAATAGTTCAAACCGTTTTCAGACTCCCCTACAGAAACAGTGTTAAGATCATCAGCTGTATCTAAGTCATCCTCATCAAGTTCTTCATTCTCCTGGTTGGCAGACGATACGCATTCTGATGAGCATAAAGAAGTGTAGTTTGAGCCATAGAGAAATTTTAAAGTTTCCTCGGTTCTCCATTCCATAAGTGTTTGCTTAAGCACTTCTAATAAACTGCCTTTGGAATTAACTGCATCCCTCAGTTCAGTTTTTTTATGTTCTTTTGAATTAGCTAGTGTTCTTTTAAGATGTTCTGCCCCTCTTTTGCTCACACCTAGAAAAACTATCTGTGAACCACTACAGGTGTTTTCATAGTTTTCTGAAGCACGTGATCTTCCTAGAGTAGTATTTTTGGAAGGCTTTGCAGTTATTTTGTTATGAGCAGAGCAAGCACACATTTCTTCCTGAGCATCTAATGTACAATTAGATAGTCGTTCAGTGGCTTCTACCACATCTGAGTCTTCAGTTTTAGAGTTGGAATAAACTTTCTGAGCATGCTTCTTTTTGAGGATGCTGTTTGTGTGCAATTGCTGTGCAAAACTGGCTGAACTTGACTGACTTCCTGGTAGGACAGAAGAAACAAATTCTTGTTCAGTGTCACTACTAATGTCACTGGCTGTGTCATGAGAACCAAATTCACATGGATTTGAAGATATCCTAGGATTTTCAATGTCAGAAGCTTTAATTACTTCATCACATAGTTTCACCTCTTCTCCAGACTGTCCACTGTAACAGAAAACACAAGTTATCAATGAAATAAGAAATGGGTGTTACCTGTAATAGCTTTTCATTCTTGTATAAGAAAGATAAATAAAGCATTTTCCCCTTGTAATAGAAGTGTACTTTTTTGCTTTAAGAATCACGGCTGCTCTTCTAAAAGTTTTCTCGAACTCAAAGAGTTGTAATGTTCTGCAATCAAGATGAGAAGTATATACACTATTTAGAGAAGTGAATTCTCAGGTGCTTATTGGCAGTTAGAAAAGAATAGTAAACAGGTATTATTAAAGACAACAGAACAATGTCAGACTTAGCATGATGAATAGTGCAATTTTAAAATGAAGATAGGCATCTTAACATATATATGAATATAATACCCTAAAATCAGGGTGACAGCAGAGCTGTTTTTAGTGTATGTAAGTTTGCCACCTAATGGCCATGTGTTGCAAAAGAAAACAAACAAAAAGTCACAATACACAGCAAGGTACAGAGAGATGACAGAATAGCATGATTTCATTTTAGCTGATATAGATGGTTTAGATTAAGAAGTACAGAAGCTTTCATCACATATAATTGGTACCATTTTCTTTATAAAGAATACATAGTATAAAATATGCAAAGTACAAACAGTGTATTTGTTTCAGATTTCAACAGGCTCAATTAAGACATTCAGGCCAAGGGCAGCTGTACACTAAATCATACAGATCAAATAGGCTGTTTTAGAATCACAAAGGAAAAAACTAGAAGACAAATAATCCTTTGTGTAGGTTCTAATAAGGTCTTGTCTATAACACAGGAAATCAAAGATTCCCCTTTCACCTGATACGATGTTAATATTTCTAACTATAAGTGCATATAACAAAAAAAATTATTGTTCAGTGTACCTCTGTCCCTCCTTCAGCAGCTCTATGTCTGGTGGTCTGCAAAGAGAAGATACAGAATAAAGATTTTCCTGCTAAATCAATGCTCTTGAAATACACAATACATAAAATACATAGTTGAGGTTGGAAGGGACGTCTGAGGATCTTCTAGTCCATACCCTCTGTTCAAAGCAGGGTTAGTGAGAGCAGGTTTATACATACATGTTCACAGAGCATGACTCACGTGCCTGCAGCACAATGCTGTTATATTGAACAACAACATTTAACAGAATCAGCAAGTCACACAGATGTTAGTCAGAAAGGACCTCTGGAGGTCTCTAGTTTGACCTCCTGTTTGTAATGCAGTTGTCACCAGCACTAGATTAGGTCAGCCACAAATTCATGAAGTTTAAATCTTGAAAACCTCCAAAATGGAGATTTCAAAACATTGCTGACTATCCTGTTTCATTCCACCATAACCTTAGTGCAATTTTTTTTCTCAGTGTCCAACCTGAACCATCCATGCGATAATTTGTGGCCGTCACCCCTTGTTAAGTTTTCTGCCATCAACCAAGAAGCTCTGTAATCTTTGTAACTTTTTTTCAAGTAGTTGTAGACTGCTTTCAGATCACCCTTTGGTCTCCTCTTCCACAAAGTAAACATGCCAAGATCCTCACAGGTCACAAAGTTCCTATAGTAAAAACAATCCTGGGCCGTTTATAGGAAAATGCTCCAAATTAATGCAAAAAAAAAGGACTATATGACTAGAATATCTTTACTTATTTAAAATTTTACTTCCTTAAAAATTAGGATATCAAGTTGAACTGCCTTAAGAAAATGGAGTGCAAAGGTTTCCAGAAACTCTAAGAACTATAACTAAACAAATTCTGACAGATTTCTTTCCAAAGATCTACTTGCAGTTAATCTGCTTCAATTCAGTTATGAGGCAGCATCACAATGCTATTCATTTTATCCAACACTAAATGTTGAAATCCTCACCCACCTGTCCTATGAAAGAAAGAAAACCTTTTAAGCACGCACTACATGCAAGTCAATGCACTAACACCTCTCAGACAGTATACAAAAAACCCCCACAGGTTTAAAAAAAAGATGAAAGCTGCAACATGCATTCATATGAATGAATTGAGTTTGGAAACGAAAGGTGATAACATACAATGATTTAAATTATTAACTCCATATAATGCTTCTTCAGAGTTTTAAGTGGAGATTGTAGTCTTTTCTGTCAAAAGAATTTCAGATATCCTAATGTGTAAACGTTTATCAGTGTGTGCACGTGTACATGGTTGTGCAAACACACATACCTAGCCATGAACTATCTGGGGTTTTGTTTGTTTGGTTTTTTTTTTTGAAAATACTGCCTCCCCCCACCATACAGCATAAATAATTAACCACGTCAGGCATATCAGAACCGTACACTTTCGATGCTAAGAATAAAGGGAGATTTTAGAAATACTTTCTTTAAAGACAGCAAAACGAGAGCACAAAAATACTGGTAAGCTTACTTAAACATTTAAGGAAGAGACTAGTTTTACCTACTAGAATCCCTCAGATCAGGCTGCTCTAAACCTCTTCTCTCATTGATCAGATATTTCATATGACTGATCTGAACTGTGAAACCAAGCTCACACATATAATTTCAGCTAGTTTCTTTTGTTGAAAACCAGGAGACTATGAAAAGTAGTGTCTTAGATAACGAAAAGCTGAATAAATTCAGCTGAACATTCTCTAGGCAAGGCTTTGAGCAACCTGGTCTAGTGGACGGTGTCCCTGACCATGGCAGGGGGCTTGGAACTAGATGATCTTTAAGGTCCCTTCCAACCCAAACCATTCTATGACTCTATGATTTATTGTTAAACAGTGACACCCATTGGCTCAATTCATTATTTGCAAGCCTATGTTTCCTAAGCTAGGAACACGGACTGCATCACACTGTTCCAAAATGTGTACTGCAGTAACAGCAAGAAATGGGCAATCTAAAGATAAGAGTTTTAGCCAGGATAAAGAACCTTTTCATGTTATCGTCTGCTTTCAGGTGCAAGCATTCCCAGTCTAACTTTAAGACCAATGCAAAGTGCTGTGCTAAAATCAGAAAGTCTCTTTTAACAGCATAAGATGAATTCATCCTGTACATTATACGGTTTGTAAAAATCCAATCCTAGTAAGTACATTTTAAATTTAATAGGAGTGACTATTATTTATGACTAGTCTGCCCTCTAAACCAACATTGTCACGTCTACTGAGTAGTCATGAGTAGTACCGAGTCACGTCAATTATTGTGATCAATATGGCAACAACACTTTTAAAATGAACACCATGCTAAGCTAACATGTAACATCAGTTACCTCTGCTTCAGCCTAATCATTTTGATGCATTGCAGCTAATTAATTAGCATTGCGGCTTGGATAGAGAAAATAATATTCTCAAAAGGAGCAATGAACATATAAGGTTATACTTACTTTTCTTTGTCTCGCATCCATACTGGACTTTTGGAAATTTGAGCTTCAAAATATTTAGATGCTCTATAGCAAAAGTTGCTGCAAAAGCACTGGAAATGAGAGGGAAAGCAAGAAAATATGACTAAAGACAACTTTAATACTTATAGAAAGGTACAAAAGTCATTGTTTTTTATGCCTGTAAAATTTAAGTACCAATTCACATTTCTTTTTAAGCCTGTGACCAGGTTTTTAATTCACCTGAGAAACCAAACCTATCAAATAGGTCTACCCCACTCCCCAGAAGCCACTTGGAACTGCTTCTTTTCTGCTTTTTGCACTTTTATTACATACTGAGAAGCAAACCAGTGTTGGATTCTACATAATAATAATTTTTAAAAACCCTCAAAATTGTTCAAAGAGCAATCCCAAAACCCAACACGATGGTCATAAAGATATGTAATAAAATTCAGGTGTTTAATAATGAAAATTTTGGTTGGCAACAGAACTTGTGTATTTTGCAATACTCAGAATAACACCAAAAATTTTGCAGTATCTTTGAAAAATTAACTTGCATACTTGCATCAGGGAACAAAACAAAACATCCCACTTCTTCTCGGAGTCTTGCTTGAGAAAGCAATTCCCAGAATTTTGTGTATCCCAAAGTTGTAACCAGAGGAAAGGAATGTACACTAGTGATCCTGAAGAAATTTGTTCTGAAACTAGAAACATTTATCCTACAATTTAGCGTATAAGCACCTGTAAGTGATTGCGTATCCTCTGAGCAGGCAAAGACGACTTTTACTCAACCACATGCGTGAATACGCTTAAAGAAAGACACAGACTTTGTGAAGAGATAGGTTTTATGTTGAAAAGTCCTCAAAAAAGAACCCTAAAGGTGGTCACACTAAGGAGTGCATAAGATGTAACTTGTATTGCATTACTGCAAACTTCAGTGAATGAAAAGGATGCGCACTTTGACCCTACTAAAGCCCATTGACTATATTGGAGCAAAACAGAGAACGCTTCTTCACAAATGTCTGTAAAAGATCAGCTGTACCACATTCAAACTGCTATCCAAGTAAAACTTTCCATGTTGTATTTAAATTTAGAAAAGAAAATAAATGTTTTTTTGTCTTTCCAAAGAGAGCATCTAGAAACTGAAATGCACGAAAAACTTCATATTCTAATAGTTCACGGAAACGATTTTCATAAGAACCAAACATATTGCTCTGAATCAAGCCACTATACGAATGCTGCTACAAAATGCATTTCTGATGTTGATATTAAATACATTTTACAAATAGTCTCGTTACCATACCTTTCTTTCAGTGATATCATAAACTCTGTTTGTTTTTGTTGAAATTCTGTACTTCTGTTTTGGCACCTAAAACAATATGCTTTCATCAGCAAGACTGTTACTTCCATCAAGACTTTACAGTAAACTTCATTCTTAATTTGCGTATTTTAATATGTGTAGTATGTTCTGTTTTAACTGAATTGCATACTACAACCACCTTTTCTCTCAATTTGATATTGTACCTTCTCAGATGTAAAATGGCAATTTAACTTTAATCATTTACATCTCACTATCGGTAGAAGACACCTTCAGATCTACACGAAAGCCAATGCTGAACATAAAACAGTGGAGCTGCCATGGTAGAAACTTTACTCATGTATAAGTGTTGGGCAATTACAGACAGGTCCTTCTTTAATCCATATCTATTTATATGCACGTGAGACTGTGCTGTCAGAGACCCCCGCCACTACCCAGACAAACCTAGAGAGGAACTTACATAAAATATAATACAGTTTCCAAGTGAATTTCTGTGGGGGCATATGAAGGCCAAAACAGTAAAATTTTTTGTACTTGAGTAGATTTTTTTCAGATAATCAGGTGTACCACAACTGGTATTACATCCGTTATCGAACTGAACTCTGAGTCCTGCTTAAGCTCTGACATACCATACTTAAATAAGTGTGACTATGATTTTGACACAGGTAATGTACATTTTTAGAGCAGATGTATATGCATTCACATAGTGACAACCCTGTGTTGTATTATTTTTCCACTTCAGTCCTTCTCACAGAGATATGTGGTTACACTGAAGAAGGAACTAGAAAGTTTCTGCATGCACAAAGGAAGGCCATGAAGCCTTGCCTCATTCATCTTTATTACTGTCAAAGTAGATGCTAACTGACTCTGTCATACAGTAATGATTGTCAACTGATCAAATTTTACCTTTTACTTCAAAAGAATTATACTGAAATGGAATGATATGATGCCTGGCCCATTACTTGACAGTATTTTAATCTATGTTTAATGCTGTAAGTTTAAAATTAAAGAGAAAATGCAAGAGAATAAAAATCGTGAAGGGGTTCTTATGACAACAGCATTAATAAAAAGCAACTTACATTTTCCAGTTTATTTTGACATAGAGGATAACCACATAGTTTGATGATAGACCGTTCATCAACAATGTCTTTATAGTGAGATGGAGTAATAAATTTTCCCTAAAATGACAAGAAAAGAGTTCAACAACAGATACTGGAAAATCTGTCATTTTTGATACTCAAAACATCTTATAAATAAATAAATATTTTAATTTTATAGCAGTTATCTAGTAAGTTTAATAAACAACATTTAGAATCTACACAGTA